AAAAAAAAGCGGGTTTTCTGCATTTTGACGTGGTTTTGCAGCAGCGCAGCGCTGTGCTGCGCACTTGGATTCCGCGTTTGGACATGTTTTTTTAATTAAATTTTTACACCTTATTTCTTATTATTTTTTTAATTTCTAAAGTTGATTCCTATGTTTTAAAGTGTGTAGAATTTAATGGTAAAAACCATTTTCCATAAAACCCACAGGTTCATTCTCAACACTTCAATTAGACACTAGCCAACCCCCCTCGCGCACGCCAATCTGCACGCCAGCTGCAGATTGGCGTGCGCGCCTGCACGCCATTGCAGAATGGCGTGCAGGCAGGCAAGCCACTTGCCTGCAGGGGGTATACCCTGCAGGTTGGCGTGCCTGCTTACACGCCAAATATATGCATATGTGGTCCTAAACGCATATTTATATGCGTTTAGGACCGAGGCTGTCCCATAGGACCCAGGCATGGGTCCTATGGGACGGCCCCATTCATTGTTTTTTTTTTCAAAAAAAAAATATGTAATAAGAAAAAAAAAGTTTTTTTTTTTTCTTTCAAAACAAAAATACATAATAAGATTTTTTTTCTTTTTTTCTTTCAAAAAAAAAAAAAACAGGCAGTCGACGGTACAACCTCGCCAACCAGGAGGAGGGGATTCCCTCCTGGTCGGCGGTACAACCTTGCCGGCCCAGGAGGGAATCCTCCTGGTCGACGAGGTTGTACGACCTTTTACAACCTTGTCGACCAGGAGGATTCCCTCCTGGTCAACGGTAGAACCTCGCCGGCCCAGGAGGGAATCCTCCTGGTCGGCGAGGTTGTACAGCCTCGCCGACCCGTCCCTCCTGGCCGGCGAAAACCTTGCCGGCCAGGAGGATTCCCTCCTGGGTCGGCGAGGTCGTACCGTCGACCAGGAGGGAATCCTCCTGGTTGACGAGGTTGTACAGCCTCGTCGACCAGGAGGGAGTCCTCCCCATCGACCAGGAGGATTCCCTCCTGGGCCGGTGTGGAACTACTCAACCAGGGAGATAGAGCTTGGAGGGGATATAGACAACTACACTAGTACTAATGTAAGTTGAGACTACAGGTGCTGATGAGGCTGCCCTCCTGTACAATGCTAATGGGTAGAGTGTAACACTAAGAAAAAGAAGAAGAAAGGTGTGGCTGATTTCTACTTTATCTTAGACTGCTATTACTGATGAGCTTGTGTATGTAGTACCTACTGAGGTGTGAGGAGGAGGAGGAATGAGGTGTGATGGGATAATACTGGCAAGGGTGTAACACTGGCAATGAGGATGACACTGGCAAGGGGAATAATCTGGCAAATGAGGATTTATAACTGGCAATTGAGGATTTATAACTGGCAAGGGGGGATGTATAACTGGCAAATATAACTGGCAAAGATATCTGGTAAAGATATAAGGGTGATACTAGTATTTCTGATTTCTAAGACTATGGTTAGAAGATAATTCAGGCAGGGTACATAGCATAAGGGGGAAAATACATGAGGAGGAAGAAGGAGTATATAAGTGTACAACATGTACATACAACAGTAAAGCACTATGGCAAGGGAAATCCTGGCTATGGGTAATGTAAGTCTTGAACAGTAATGAGTGATGAGAAATAATGTAGCTAAGTGACAGATGTTCTGTGTATACAAGTGTTAATCAGGTATGGAAAGTCAAAGCAGTGTGAAAGGAAATATGTACATGATGTAATGTAGTTAAGGTTTATCCTGATTGATGTATGTAATTATGGTTATGCTGAATATGTAGTGTAGTATGTAGTAATGGTGATGTACCATGATGAATGAGTGATTCTACATAGAGACTGTAACTATATAATGTGTAATGTACATGTACTGTATGTACAAAGTAATGTACTGTTCTGTAACTATGAATATATTGAAGAGATGATAACTAGAGAACTACAAGAGCTAATGAAAAGCTGTAAGAGGTGACTAGGGGTGAAATGGTGTGTAGAATCTGAATATGAAATAATACTGGGAAGAATATATGTAAAATGATATGAAAGATGAGGATACATGGAAAGGTATGGACATACCACATCCTCCCCCAACTTATTGTCTGACCCCAGACAACTGAAGGAAAGAAAGAAAAAGAAAAGAAAGGGGAAAAAGTGAAATGGAGAGTAAGAATGAAGAAAAGAAAAATCCATGGAAGTTGTCCAGTGATCCAAAGCAAAAGTCCTCAGAGTCCTGTGATCCTGAAAGCCAATCCTGTGTCCAAAAGTCCAAGTCCAAAGAAGTCCAATCCAAAGATAGTATTCCAAAGAAGTTCATTCCTGAAAAGATCCAGTCCAAGTGGTCCAATCCAAAGAAGTCCAATCCAAGTAGTCCAATCCAAAAGAGTCCAAAAGAAGATGAAGTCTTGATCCAAAAGACCTGATGATGATTATAAAATAAATCTTGAGTGTACATAACTCAACTATAACTACTACTATTTTAAATTCTGCTGATAAGATTTTCTAACTAAGGGATAATACTGGCAAATGGTCTAATACAAAGCTGTCTCAGCTTGTAAAACTAACCCTAAAAATAACTATTACAAAAGCCAACTGGGCCTGTAAAAAGCTACTGATGATGTTCTGGTGTCCTTAGTATAAAAAATAATAAAAGCCTACTGATAAAAGTTTGAGTATGCTGTAACTGGAAAATGTAAACCTGAGAAATGATGATGTAATTATATCTGGAAATTTAAATGCTACTGGGTTTCTAATTATGAAGGCTGATGGATGAGTATGGATGTGTACTAATGTAAGTCAGATAAATGTACTGAGAAATAATGTGGAAGGTACTGATTGGATACTACTCAGAGGATGGATAGTGAAAAATAAAGTAGCTGGATTGTAGTACTGGAAAAATATGGCTGGAAAGATTTGATGAACCCCAAGGAAGTGGGAGGAAAGATGAACCAAGAAAGAAAAGATTTTGATCCAGAAAGCTGATGAAGGAGTGAAGCTGGATCCAAAGAAAGGGATTTTGCTGATCCAAATTACCAGGTTTGGATTGATGGAAAGGTGACTGGTGGTTGATGGTGGAAAAATGGATCAAATAATATTTACTGATGGTGGTGGAAGAATAATAATTCAGGATGATAGTTGATGCTGGAAAATTGGTGGATGAATATTTAATGGTGGATGGAAAGAATATTGATGGATAAAGGATGTTGAAATGGTTGATGATGTTGAATTGATGGGTGAAGGATGTTGAGATGATTGATGATGTTGGAGGAAAGGAAAAATTGATGCAGGAAAGGTGGTGTTCATTGCCAATGAAGGTTGATGATTGAAAATGTAAGAGTAATCTACATGGTGGATGAAAGAATAATTGATGGATGAATGATGTTGAAGTGGTTCACGATGTTGGGTGGCAAGAATGATTGATGAGTGAAATGTGTAATATTTTACATGGTGGATGCTAAAAAATTGGTGAATAAATGACTGGAAAATTCTTGATGAGCATGAAATTAGGAGGAAGGAAAAATGATGATGAAAATCTTCATGATGATGAATGAGTGAGTGGGGAATTGATAATGGTCCCCTCAATTTTCTGATGGAGGTGAATGAGGAATATTCATGATGATGAAAAATGGGGGTCCAGGAGTTCTTGAGTTGATGAATCCATAGTGGGATGGATGATTCATTGCAAGATTCTTGATGAGGATAAACTGATTACTTGATGAGAAAATGAAAATAAAATGAGGGTTGATGAATCCATGATGGGATGATGAGGTCCATTAATTTCTTTTATTCTGAAGATGGGTTGAAAGGATGGGGGTCTGAGACCTGAGAAGAGGCCTGAACTTGCATTCCTGAGACCTGGGAGGAGGCCTGAACTTGAATTATGATTTAATGAGAAATTGAGCTTATGGCATTGCCTAACTTATGTAGTGACTTGAAGAAATTAATTGAAGAAACAAGATGAGGGATTTGTTTGTTGGAAGCATAAACAGTCGGGTCTGTGCTTTCCTGGCCGAATGGATAGGGTTGCTGCTGATAGCCTGCCTTCCATAATTGGTGCAGCAGTAGTGTGGAGCCACACAATTCCATTGTAGAACAAAATCAAGTTTGACGAATGTCCGAGGATCGGTGTTCAGGTAGAGAAAAAAAAACCTTCGATGGCTCTAGATTGATGCCATCATCGATCCCGATTACTTTCAAGCACCCTTCTAGAGATCGTTCGTCCGTACTTTTTGCAGGTACCTCCTGGGGGGTACCCCTCGCACCCGCCCCGCACCCTCCAGGAGGTGCCAGGTGCGGTACTTGGTACCTATTTTTGTGAAAAATTGAACAGGTACCTAGGTACCTCTACAGGTACCCCCTCACTTCCCTACCAAAAATCAAAATGATGGTGGCCTTCTACTCCAAGAACTCCAAGATCCAAGAAGTTACCTTGGCTGCATGGAAACAGGGACTCAGGGATAACAAAAAGTCTAACAAAAAATCAAAAAGGAAGGTGATGGTTTTGGATGACAATGAAGATTCTTCCAATTAGTTATAAGTTGTAGATAGTTTCAACTTTTCAATAAATTATTAAATATGAACAAATGAAAAAAGTGATCTGGGACTGATGTTTTACAATAAATATGAAAAAATATAAAAGTAAGATTCTTCCAATTAGATGTAGATATATTACAACAGATATTAAAAAATGCCAAAAAAGTGACTTGTGAGTGATATTTTACAATAAATATGAAAAAATAATAATAATAATAAAGTGACTTGAGACTCTGGGAGTGAAACTAGGTGAAAAAGAGAGGGGGGGTACCTGAGGTACCTGCAACGGGTACCTTGGGTACCCCCCGGGAGGTGTCTGGTGCGGTACATGGTATCTATTTTCTTGAAAAAATGAACAGGTACCTAGGTATAAACAGGTACCCAGGTCCAAACAAACAATCTCTACACCCTTCTTGCCTTTTGGTGATTGCTTGCCAGTGTTTGAGCGATGACAAGGTGATCGATGATGTCCAAACGGCTGGGAGGAAGCAAGAAACTAGGCTAAAAAAAATAATGAAATGAACATTAAGTTGTGAGGAGATAAAAACCAAGCAACCCCAAGAGGAGAGGTGTTGTTGTTAAAGCCAGACATCATAATCATTGGTTGAGTTGCTACCAAAGCGACTCCTTCCAATTCGCTCCTCTTATTCTCGCTCCTTCCAGTCAAATCCCTACAACAGATCTTCCGATTGAAACTGTAGGTGTGTACTCTAACTGCCTCGATGACCTTCATCATCTCCTGGGTAATCGCGTTCCTCGTCAACTCTCTCCGCTGTCCCATCCGCCAGGCTTGTAAAAGCTCTATAATCATCTGATCAATATCATGTAGGGGCTCTCTGACTTTCTTGAAGTTGCCGCTGATGTTGGAACTTTCCGTGAACTGATCTTTATTCCATCGTTTTCCAACCGTGAATCGATTGCTCTTCTGATTGAGACTACAGTAAGTTGTTCTACCCACCTCGACAACGTTGTCCTTGCTACCTATAGAGACTCTGATATTGATGTCCCTCCCTTTGATCTGAAATTGCAGGGTTTCATTTCCTGTGCGAGGGAGGCCTGAAGGATCCATCCCAATACCCAGGGTACCAGTAATTTCAGAAGGGTAGCCGGTCCTTTTAGTCGTTTGGAAAGCCAAAAACCCAATCCCTTTCCATCGCGCTTCCCAATATCTTCCTTTATTGAACCTGTAGAAAGGTAATCTAACTCCGTCGATGGCCTCAATACTGGTAGATCTGAGGACTGTGATATTGATGTTGTATTTCCTCTTCTGACACTTGCCTCTGGCAGCAATAGGGTGGAAGCGAACTGTCTTCTCTTGGGAAGCCGACAAATAAACTACCTGTGATCCTCGTGCGATCTCATTCAAGCTTGGATTGCCGCTATACTCTCTTCCTTGTAAAGCAGTCACAAAAAACATCCTCCATCCTTTTGCAATCTTATTGAAGACTCGATCGACCCAGCACCTTTGCGCGAATTTGCCTGTCATACCAATTGGATGAGTCTGATCGATAAGATCCAGAACATAGAAGAATGAGCGACCTGTTTCGTCTTGATCAAATAGCTTGGAAACCAGGATTTCGGTAGCAACCTCTTTCAATACCAAGGAAAGTTTCTGAACGGACTCTGTATTTTCCTTTTGGTAAAGGCCTCCAGATTTCAGGACTGATTCATTCCCATGCGAATCCATGAAATTGGGAGCCGTTTGCTGACAAAAATGTTTAAATTCCAGGGTTTTGGTAGTGAATCCCTCCCCCAACTTGGCTGATGTCCCCATCACCTGGGAAGACAGAGAGAGTTGAGAGGTGCTGGAACACTGGGCCTGTTTTAAGGAATCCTTGGTGGCTATTTTGGAAGGTAAGGAGGCCCCCCATTTCTTCTGATTGGAGAGGGGTATTGGAATAGAGGGAAAATGCATTTCTGTGTACAGGCAAGCTGATGAATTCTGAATTTCTTGATGGGTGAGGCCAGAGCTTCCAAAATGATGAGAAATTGGGTCCTGTTTGTCTTCATCCTCTATTTTTTCAAGGGTTTCTGAAATTCTGTTCTCTATTGGTAGGATTCTGTTGGGAAATTTCTTCCAGTCTTCTGGAAATTCATGTTCAAAGGTAAGTGTTCCTACATAACTAAGAAAAATATCTTGTTCCGTGACTGAGAGCTTTTGGTTTGTTTCCTTCACTGATCTAGGGTCTTCTGTGGCCAAATTTGTATCCAATAAAGTCTCTTTGGCTGGTTCTTTTGTAAGGAGAGAAGGAAAATGCTGAATTTCTGAGTAATGAAATCTGTTCTGGCATTGGTTATCAGAGAGTTGAGGAAAGGAACAGTTGGAGGAAGGGCTGAGTTCTGGTAGAGAAGGGTTAACACTAGAGCTGGCCATATTGAGTAAGTCTTCTGTGTCTGTTTCCATGGGATTTTCTTCTTCCTGAGTGGTCCAATTTTCTGTAGCTGAAGTTTCTTTCTTTTTCCAGGCTGGTATGTTCCTTTTTGCTAGGTCTTCTTTGTGTATTCTGAGTTCCTCTGGAGAAAGTTCCACCAGCTGGCCAAATGAGGAGGATACCTGGAATGAATTCCTGGAATATTGGTCCACCACCTGCTTGATTGGCCTACTAGTGTCCCATGGAATTGTGGTATTGTCTGGAAGCTTGAAGAATTTGCCATCCCTGGTTACTGCCCCAATGGATTCATCATAAAGTACTGAGTTGCATTTTCTGGTGCCATGGCCTTTGAGAAAGCAATAATAACATTTGAATTCAGGTTTTCTAGGAACTGGTGAAGATGACTGGGAAGGAGCTGGTCCAGAAGGATGAGTTGGGTTGATTTTTACAGAGTAATAAGCTTCAAATTTCCTGGTAAGTTCTTCAAACTTTTTTTCTAATTCATTGGAGCTGGCTGGAGTAGATGGCTTGGGAGCTAGAGATGGATTCTTGGTGGCAGAAGTTGAGTTGTCCAATTCCTTAGTGGGTTCCATGGGTTCCATTCTGTGGAGTTTTCTTCTTTCCATAACTGATGTTGACTGAACCTCCCTGTGTATGTAGGCCAAAATAATTTGAGTATCTGGAAGAATATCCCCACCATCCATGGAAGAAAGCATCTTGTTGTCCCTAATGAGTTCCCTAGTGACTGAGGCCTCCAAATCAGGACTGAGAGATTCCAGTAAGAGCTCCCTGAATTCCTCCAAGCTGTTAGAGTATCCCATCCTGAAGAGATAGGTGGTAACTGATTCAAATTTGGTCCTGAAATTCTTGAATTCCTCCAGAGTCTTGATTCCTCCAGCTTGGATAGCAGTGTTGACCAATTTCTTCAAATCCTGCCTAGAGTATTTGACCAACGGAAGAGGATCCAAACCTGTTGAGTAGTTGTGCCTTCAAAAGTTCCCAGTCTGAGTCCTCATGGCCAGTCATTTCTTCCACTTCATCCTTGAGGTCCATTCCATGAATAAAAGATACAATCTGTCTGGCCAAATCTTGAGCAGAAGCATCATCAGCTAATCCAGCATTCTCATACCTCTTGATAAATTTTTCCACAGGCATGTTGGTTCCATCAAAGTAAAGATCCTTGTCCATGGGCTTGATTTTGACTGATCTGGTGCTGGTTCCTCTGTACTTGGGTAAAACTGGCTCCTTGTCTAGAAAGTGAGTGTCTGGATTTCTGGTGAATGAATGGGCTGATTGCTGATTGTTGTAAATATTGTTTGATCTGGCAGTAGAATGAGAGATGGTCTGTCCAAGGCTGGAAGTTGAGTGTGGGACATTGTTGCTGGTGGATTCCTGGCCAGGGTAAGTGTTGCTGTTAAATCTAGTATCCTGAGACATGTCTTCTGGTTGATTGAGAAAGTTGTTGACTGATATATTATGGTTATTCAGGTGAAGTAGAATGGCAGCAGATGTAATATAAGGAAAAAGAGTGTAGGAATTGAAGAAATATTTCTGGGAAATGGAAAGGTAATAGATATGTAGTCTGATTCAAGTAAAATGATGAAAATGAATTGGGAGGAAGTATGGTAAAGATGAGGATGAAATGATGTTTCTGAGTTGACTAATATTCTGTAGATATCTGGAGAATAATAAATATGGAATAGAGAGGAAAGGATATGAGGGATAGCAAGGGAGAGGGAGGAAAGTAGGGGGAAAGGTATGTAGGTAGTGATACTAAAAAAGCTGATAGTAATAGTGTTACTAGGACTAAAATCTAAAGGAAGTCAGGCCACTGTTGGGACACCACTTGTGGAACTACTCAACCAGGGAGATAGAGCTTTGAGGGGATATAGACAACTACACTAGTACTAATGTAAGTTGAGACTACAGGTGCTGATGAGGCTGCCCTCCTGTACAATGCTAATGGGTAGAGTGTAACACTAAGAAAAAGAAGAAGAAAGGTGTGGCTGATTTCTACTTTATCTTAGACTGCTATTACTGATGAGCTTGTGTATGTAGTACCTACTGAGGTGTGAGGAGGAGGAGGAATGAGGTGTGATGGGATAATACTGGCAAGGGTGTAACACTGGCAATGAGGATGACACTGGCAAGGGGAATAATCTGGCAAATGAGGATTTATAACTGGCAATTGAGGATTTATAACTGGCAAGGGGGGATGTATAACTGGCAAATATAACTGGCAAAGATATCTGGTAAAGATATAAGGGTGATACTAGTATTTCTGATTTCTAAGACTATGGTTAGAAGATAATTCAGGCAGGGTACATAGCATAAGGGGGAAAATACATGAGGAGGAAGAAGGAGTATATAAGTGTACAACATGTACATACAACAGTAAAGCACTATGGCAAGGGAAATCCTAGCTATGGGTAATGTAAGTCTTGAACAGTAATGAGTGATGAGAAATAATGTAGCTAAGTGACAGATGTTCTGTGTATACAAGTGTTAATCAGGTATGGAAAGTCAAAGCAGTGTGAAAGGAAATATGTACAGTGGGTGGACCGTTATTTTTGGCTGCCTGTTTTGGACCCCAGAGCTCTGAAAAACAGACTTGAAGTTATGAGACTTGTTCAGGTGGTGCATAGTAGGTCCCAGAAAATGAATATGAAAAAATAAAAACCAAAAGTAAAGTTTCAAAATTTGTGAAAAATAAAAAATAAAACTCATTTTTTTCAAAACCTTTGATATTCATTTTGGGGGAGTGGGAGTGCTGAGAGAAAGAAAGAGGGGAACATGGGAAGAATGATTATAAATGAAAAAAATTGGAACCAAAAAAGGTTTGGCCAGGTTGGTTGTCCAGATTGGAGCCAAAACAGTAAATACTAGTGCTTGACTGCAATGTGGGCTGGTGAATGCCTCACTCAACAGCTGTTTGAAGCCATCTGGAAACCAATTTTGCCAAAATTTTCATTTATAATCATTCTTCTCATTTCCTAATCTTTCTTTCTCTCAGCACTCCCACTCCCCCAAAATGAATATCAAAGCTTTTGAGAAAAACAAATCTTATTCTTTATTTTTCACAAATTTTCAAACTTTGTTTTTTGTTTTTATTTTTTCATATTCATTTTTTGGGACCTATTATGCACCAATTGACCAAGCCCCATGACTTCAATCTGGTGCTTTGAAGCTCTGGGATCCAAAAAAAGCAGCCAAAAATAACGGTCCACCCACTGTACATGATGTAATGTAGTTAAGGTTTATCCTGATTGATGTATGTAATTATGGTTATGCTGAATATGTAGTGTAGTATGTAGTAATGGTGATGTACCATGATGAATGAGTGATTCTACATAGAGACTGTAACTATATAATGTGTAATGTATATGTACTGTATGTACAAAGTAATGTACTGTTCTGTAACTATGAATATATTGAAGAGATGATAACTAGAGAACTACAAGAGCTAATGAAAAGCTGTAAGAGGTGACTAGGGGTGAAATGGTGTGTAGAATCTGAATATGAAATAATACTGGGAAGAATATATGTAAAATGCAATTGAAGATCTGATCTTTGGGTAAAATGAATGATACCATAGCTCCTTAAACCTCACAAAAAGTAGGGAATGAATTTAAAATTCCAAAAAATAATGAATCATAAGCCTGTAAGAATTAATTAAAAAAACACGTTGAATACAATATTCAAGAAAAATTTTTCATTTTGATGCAAAATGGATTTTACCATAATTTTCAAAATGTCTGAAAGTGTAGGAAAAAAATTTAAAATGTCAAAAAATAATGAAAGTTAAGGGGGTTGATAAGCGCAAGCCAACCCCCCTCGCGCACGCCAATCTGCTGCTGGCGTGCAGATTGGCGTGCGCGAGGGGGGTTGGCTTGCGCTTATCAACCCCCTTAACTTTCATTATTTTTTGACATTTTAAATTTTTTTCCTACACTTTCAGACATTTTGAAAATTATGGTAAAATCCATTTTGCATCAAAATGAAAAATTTTTCTTGAATATTGTATTCAACGTGTTTTTTTAATTAATTCTTACAGGCTTATGATTCATTATTTTTTGGAATTTTAAATTCATTCCCTACTTTTTTAGAGGTTTAAGGAGCTATGGTATCATTCATTTTACCCAAAGATCAGATCTTCAATTGTAATTTATGAGCTTACCCATTTTCTTGCATAATTTGTACCATGTACCAATTTTATTTTTATGCAAAATGGATATAACCATCAGCTTTTAAACCTTTGAAAATGTATCAAATTCATTTAAAATTCCAAACAATAATGAATAATAAGCCTGTAAGAATTAATTAAAAAACATGTTGAATGCAATATCCAAGAAAAAGTTTTCATTTTGATGCAAAATGGATTTTACCATAATATTCTAAATGTCTGAAAGTGTAGGAAAAAAATTCAAAACGTTGTGGTAAATAATACTGTGTTTCTACGCAGAAAATATAAAAATTTATTATTATCTTTTTATATATCATAGATATGGTAAAAATGACATCAGAAATGGATTTCTCAGGTAAAATTAACCCTAGTCACCCACTACAACTGACCCCATATCTCTCATAGTTTAGAAGTTACACAGATTTCAACCTGTCACGGGATATCTTTTGGATTCTTTACTCTCAGTATGGCTTGTTTTGAATACTGGATGCATATTGAATATTGAATTCCTTTGTGTTGTATTGAATTCCTTTATTGGCACATAGTGCATATTGAATTCCTTTGTAGGTGCACATGCATTCCTTTGTAGTAGGACCTTGTAGGCTAGCCAAATTCCCTCAAGGCAGTGCTCTCACCAGCCAAATTCCCTCACCTGCATGTATTAGACCAGCTAAATTCCCTCATTGGATCTTCAGGCCAGCTAAAATGCCTCAAAAGCCTGTACCCTGGGGCTAAAATCCCTCACATTTGTCTATATAAGGAGGCCTCTGCCTGCCAGTTGTTCCCTCCATCATCCCACCAGTGGACCAGATCATCTCAACCACCCTTACAGATTATATACAAGTGACAGCCATAACTATACATTATATTGAAATACAACCATAACAGTTTCATCATCATAACAAGTGCCAAGTGCCCATAACCTGCCTCACATACCATTACTGGTTGAAGCATAGCGCTCCCAGAGCTCCAAGCCTTGGGATTAAAGCTTTGCACAACAACTCCATCAATATAATAATCATTCATTAACAACTTCAGACCCTTATACACATCACTCGGAAGCTTCATCTTGAACTATCCTCTATCACGATAAATATAACTGCCAAGCTAAGCTTGGTGGTCTTGTTGTTCTGATAGCATAGAAGGGCAGAGCTTGCAACTCAATCATCCCCTTCTCCATTCAGCAAAAGGGTTTTCATAACCACTTTTGAGTCTTACAACGTCAAAAAATAATGAAAGTTAAGCTGTGAACAATTAATTGAAAAAAGTGTATAATTGAAGTGTGGAGAATGAACCTTTGGGTTTTATGGAAAATGGTTTTTTACCATTAAATTCTACACAATTTAAAACATAGGAATCAACTTTAGAGCATCCACCCTCGTCTCTACAAACCCGCTCGGTAAGCGGTGTGGTGAGCCAAATCAAAACATCAAGGTCTCAATGCACCGCACAATCCGGACAAGAAGACCCCAAACACCTTGGTCCTCAAGATAGAAATCTCAAGGCACCCAGACCACACGTGGGGGGAAGAAAGTCACCCCTCAGACAGAGCCAGGGTATTAGGAACCCTCCTTGTTTTCTCTTGTTTCATTCTTTTTCTTTCTGGAGCTGCTGCATATGCACTCCTCTTTCTCTTATCTTTCTGTTTCACACTAATGCACCCACTTGGGGATTAGTCTCTTACTTCTATGCATGCTCCTGCATGTGGCTATGCGCGTCTCAGACTTATGCACCCTTTTGGGAAAGCAGGCTATGTCATTGTGTCCTCATTGGTCTTAGCAGCCATCTTCTGGGCCGTAGTGTTTCAGTTTGATATTTTTCACTTGATCCTTTTCTCAAACCACAAGCTGGCCACTCCCCAGATTTTGTATATAAGGAGCCATGTTTTCCCCTGATCATTTGTTCCCTCATCAGTTCCCTGACGTGCTCAGCCTGGTCACTTAGTTAGTTATTGTCCATAGTCATAGTCCTCAGGTAAAGTACTCAGGTAAAGTACTTAGAAAATATTATCACACCTTGCTAGTCAGAAATTGTCCGCCACATCTTCAGAGAGTATTTGAACTCTCCTTGTCCGCTACCTTATCACCTTTTACCGGAGGGCAGCCTTATTCACGGCGCATTTACCCTTCCACACTCTATCTGATCCCACCGGGTAGTTCCACAGCGGGATTTACTCAACTTAAATTGATATTTTCACCCTTGCGCACTCTTTAGCACTCTTTAGCTAGCTATTCACTTGGCAAGTTAGTAAGGATTTGTAACTTTACAAATCCCTACCAAGCCTCTTTAAGCTTGACTTGAGGAGAGGCTACATAGCCGGTCCCAATCAACCACTCCTCCCATCCAGAAATAAAAACTATGGCGCTCGATGACCGGTCATTACCATTCATTGAGAAGAGTAACTCTCCCTCAATGACCATTATTGACTACTTGTTGAGGGAAGTACACTCTCTCTCAGTGACCAGTACCAACTGGTCTCTCAACCTACAGACCCTACTGGTCAACTACACTCTCCTTCAATGACCCGTCAGTACCGGTCATCAAGGGAACTACACTCTCTCTTCAATGACCCATACCTAACAGTCACTGAGGACAGTACACTCTCCCTCAATGACCAGGTCTGACCAGTCATATTTTTTTCTCTTTTAACCTGTAAACCAGTCATTGAGGGAGAGGGTAGTTCCCTCAAAGATTGGGTGGTTCCGCTCCCGGTTCTTGAGGGTATATGTGTACCCTCCTCTACAACCAGTTGGTACTGGTCATAGAGGAGTGGTGTGTAATCTCTTCAATGACTGGCTTGGTACCGTTCATTCATTGAGGGATGGATGATGTACTTGATATGTGAGAATCTGAGATATAACATTTACAGAGTGTAACTTGAATAGTGGACACAAGGGTTATGTAACCCTCTGTAAGTGAGATCAGCTGGCTAATGAGGGGCTTACAGACCGATGAGGGCAGTTTTTTTCTGTAGCTAAGCAAAAGAGCTCTGTAGGGCTCTTTAGCTAGCTAAAGATTTACCCCAACGGGGTTGGATGCTCTTAGAAATTAAAAAAAAATAATAAGAAATAAGGTGTAAAAATTTAATTAAAAAAACGTGTCCAAACGCGGAAACCGCGTGCGCTGCGCAGCACTGAGACCGCGTCAAAACACAGAAAAACTGTGTTTTTTTATTAAGGCCCTTTCTAAACTATGCAAAAAATATTACAATTATTGCACTTTCTTCAGAATTCTGAATATTACTCCAAATGAAAAAATACAAATTGGAACTTGAAGTATGGTAGGCTGGATAAATGATAATAAATGAAAATTTTGATAAAATAACTACCAAATGGTTTTAAACTGGTGTGGAGTGAGACATTCACCAGTCTCACAGTGGGAAATACAGTGGAAGAGGCAATGCTATCAAATTCAACATGCATTTTGAGATGGATACTGAGCTCTGAATAATTTCTGTTGTTGAATTTTTTTCATTTATTATCATTCTTCTTGCATACCATACTACTCTTTCCAATTTTTATTTTTTCATTTGGAGCAATATTAAGACTTTTGAAAAAAGTGCAAATATAATTGTAATATTTTTGCAAATTTTGAAAATTGGTTTTTCACATTTTTGTTATCAGAATAATTTTTTGAAACCTCTTTTATACCACTTACCCAAGTTTCATGATTTCAAGTTGATGGGTTAGGGTTGTGTAATCCAAACAAATTGGCTATAAACATTGGGTAGGTGACTGTACCTATGTAACATCCCCTGTTCCAGGACCCAACAGCTCATAACATCTTTGAAGTTTGAACCCTGGCCACAAGGGCTTTACCAGGGGTACCCAGTTGGGGCATCTTGTCATATCATTTTCTTGCACCTTGTTAAAGATTTCCTTGAAAGAAGGTATCTTGAACCCCCCTATTACTTATTTTTTGAATGTCCTTTTGGCATATTTTTAGTCTTATTCTCTGACCAAAGTGGATACATCAATACAGTCTACATATTCTGAATACAAAATCCCTTCATATCAATAAGTGTAGTTCCTATATGTAATTCTGCCCATAGACAGCTTTGGACAACACACTTAGATAGTTGAGCATCCAAATGGGGTTTTTTTGTGTAATCCTTGAAATCAATTTGACAGCTGTGCTCATGAGCTACCCATTCACAGAGTTTGCCAGAAGGGGGTTGATAAGTGCACGCCAACCCCCTTGCCAGAATCAACCAAACCCTAATATACTTTCTGACTTTCCTTCCCAGCAACAACACTGGGCCAGATACACTAAATTCAGAGCTATTCTGGAACAGAGATGTTGAGATACTGTGACATGTCACTGGTTGTTACATGTTCACTGTTGTTAGTGTGCTTCTTTCTGATTCATTTCTCCCATGTCACATTCTGTGAAATTCAGCTGTTTTTGTTTCACTTCATATACTGGATTCATGTGTGTCTGGGAGGCTTTTCTTTTCCTCATCCTTTCCAACACACATGCCTCCAGGTATGGTCTCTCTTAGAGATGTCAGCAGGTACCTGTTTGCAGGTACCCGGTACCCGTTTGCAGGTACCTGTTTTCCAAAGCAGATACCCGGAAACAGGTACCGGGTGCGGGTGCGGGTGTCAACATTTGCGGTAAAAAAAGGCAGGTACCCGGGTACCCGCCTTACACCCGCCCTGGGAATGCTTCCCCTGAAGAATTTCATTTATCATTGGTGGTCCAAAACTCCCTTTTTTGGGTGTGTTGGGCTGCACAAAGGTGTCAGCAACCCATGCAGGACACCAGCTGGTGTCTTACATGTGTTGCTGAACTAATCTGGTTGCTTTGTTGAGGCTGGAGGGTTCCCTCCAGCCTTTGAGATGGTGTACAGTCTTGATGACTGGAGGAATTCCTCCTGTCATAAAGACGGTGTACAGTCTTCATCAATGGACATTGAATAAGGCAAATGAGGCCAAGCAAAAGGGTGAAGCTAAAGATAGATCAGAGAGAAGATAAAATTCAAATTGGTGATGGAATAATTTGTTTTTCTTTATTTCTTTATTTTTATTTTATTCTTACTCATATATCTAGTGAATATCAATCTTATATTTACCAAGTCATGCAGAAATTCAAGGGTGAGATTTCTGGGTATATTTGCCTGCAAAAATGTGCCAGGTACCTGCAGGTACCCGGCGCAGGTACCCGGGTACCCGCCCTGGCTGCACTAGCAGGTGCGGGTGCGGGTGCGGGTGTCAAAAATATTGGATTTTTGAGGCAGGTACCCGCACCCGCTACAGGTACCCGGGTATCGAGCAACATCTCTAGTCTCTCTCTTCTTCTCATTTTCCTTTTTCTCATTCTTGATGTTGAAGTGAACTCACTATCCTTTCCAGCACACATGTCTCCAGTCCCCTGAGTCCATCTCAACAAGAGGAGCAGAATTCTGCTGGCTTCAGCCCCATTCAGGCTAACACTACCTATGCAGGCCCATAAAATGGTTAGAGGAATTTTGAATTTAGAATAGTGAAATTTTTAAAAACCTGCTAAAAGGGCCACTAAAACTAAGGGATTGTTGTGTGAAAAAATTTAGTGTGGTTGAAGTTGCCTAGTGCTGCCAGAAAGCTGGTACTGTTTACTAAGGAAGTTTATTTCTGGTAGGAGATGAGGAGTGACCCCAGCCCCATCCTGGGACAAAACCAGAACATTGTTCAAAGTTATGGGCCAGAATCATTGACATTGACCAGTCTCTGAGGGGTGTTCAATCAAACCTGCCCCTCAGTGACAAGCGGGTGGGATTGCACGGCCCTTTTGGAGGGGCGGGGGCGTGGGCGGGCAGGAGGGGAGTGTGCATTTATCAACGCATGTAGTTGGCACATTGTGTGAATTTAATGTTGACTATTTTTTCTCTTCATTTCCTATGTACTCTCACCTTTGAATTGGGTTTTACCTTTTGTCATGCCAGTTCCCTGCCTTGATCCCTTGTTTTTTCCTCTTTCTTTCTTTTGGTAATTTTTTCAATGAATGATATCATTTTTTCATTAATTTTGTGCCTTTTGGGCTTGAACTCAAAGGCTGTTCTTTTTATTTCATTTTATTTCTGTTTGGCTGAGAAGGCAACAACTCCCAAATCCCTCAAATTGATGGTGCATTTTAGACTGATGAATCCCATTCTTTTAAAAAAGATAACTAATAAATAATAAAATGGAAACTCAATGGACAACTCCCCCCAACTCCCATATTTTTCCATCAAAGTAGAGGAATGATCAATGACTCCTGCCAACTGTCTATTGATGGTAATGGGAGTTGTTGACTAATTTTTGGGAGTTGTTTAACTATGTAGCCCCCTAAATCTAATGGCAATTCTCAAATCAACTTCCCAAAAATTTACAATTCAAGATTCAAGAGGAATAAATTGGAGAAATGAATATCAAGCAGACACAAACTGATGAATTCAAATATATCAAGTTGTTATAGGGACCTGAAAATCCAATACAAGTAAGATAAATAAAGTTTTCTTACTTTTCTATGTTTATTCCATTTTTCTATGAGGGGATTGGAAAGATTTGTGTGATTCTATTCTAAGTTCAATAAATTTTCATGATTGAGAAAAGTTGAGATATTTATGCAATCAATCAAAATAGGTCCCAGGGTCAATAATGGTTCTTATAGCACTTGGATTTTCCAAGATTTTTAAGCTCTGAATGAGAAGCTTCCTTGGTGTATTTTCATTGAGCCACCATGGCAAAGGTTTTCTGTTTTGATCTTTTGAAGTTACTTCCAAGAGTTCTGGGTAGAGTTCTAATATCCTATCAATATAAGCTCTACGGACATATTTGGATTTCTTTGGGTGGTTTTTCAAATCCCCCATGTCATGTACACAAAAGATTTTATACATTCTGGCCATATATCCCAAATGCATAATCCTTGATGATATGAGTAATGAGTGATATTGATCTTCAGGATTTTCAGTATCTTTCTCAATTCTAGTATCACAGACTAATCTTATAATCCCTTGGTAAAAGTTCTTTTCAACAAAATCTAAAAACTCACAGATGACCCTGGTGAAATTTTCCCTTGCATAAGTCAGTGCCTGAGGCACTGAGGATATATGGATCTTGAAAAGAAGTTTTAAAAGGTTTTCTACATCATCCTGGAATTCTTTTTCACTCTTGAATTCTAATTTTGTTTGTTGATGTATGCTATCCAAAGATTCTACATTTTTTGATGTTTTGTCAGATTCTTCTTCCTTTTCTAGATACTCATTGTATTTTATTAATGAGTTAGAGATGAATTCCCATTCTTCAGGAGGATCAAACCCTAATAATGATTTTCCTGCATCCTGTAAGTTTGATATCAATAGTGGCAGATGGATTTGAACTTTATCTTCTTTACTGAGTACTTTGTTTTTGAAGAAGCTGGTTAGTTTTTGCTTTGAGAATGGAAAGCTTTAAACATATTGCCATGAACAACTTACCCTCATAAAACTTGAAACCAAATGGCCAAAACCAGTGTTCATTGATGTCTAGAACGTGATCATCAGGAAACCTGTGACTTGTACTTGCAACATAATGGTGTGTACACTTTTTTGCAAGGTACTGAATTGCTCTATTTTGAAAGATACTTCTGATGGCATGAGAATCAATGAATTCATTCTTGTATAAGAAATCAATGAATTTAAAGCAATGCGGAAAGCAATATACTTGTGTGAATGCAACTGATTTGAGCAAATTTGAATCTGGTTCAATTTTGTAATGAAGGATGTGTTTCTGGATTTCATCCAAAAAACTGCTGGCAAGATCCTTCCAGATTTTATCTGGAATTAGGGAAATGAGCTCAGGAGGTAACTTTTCCAGCCATAAAGGGATCTTTTCATTTTCTGAATTTGTAAGTAGTATCTGTAAAAGTTTTGATTGATGTGTCAATAATTCATTGGGTGAGCTCTTTAAATCAACCCGCAATATTTCCCAAAACTTGACTTGCTTGAATATTGATATTTTTCTTTTGAATTCTTTTGAAATTTTGAATGCCTCAGAATATTTTTCAATTATTTGCTCTTCCACCAGTTTTTCTGATTGAATTTTTTTAACGTTCCTACCAACTGTCTGAAACATGAACTCAAGATCCTGTGAATCTTGATAGAGTGAAGACATTTTTTCTGCAAATGCATAAAAAAGGATTCAGCTTTCAGCTACTTGTGTTTGGAAAATATTTATATAGATTTGAGTTGATCTCAGAGTCATATGTAAGATATCTTTGAGCAATGGATTTTTTTACCCTTCCCAGGCAGAATTCAGTCTTTAACTGTGATACCATGATCACTTTTCACAGCACCAGGATAAAATTATCACTTGCTAGATGACAGGTGACATTGAGCAACAATTCCTGCAACTTTGTGTTTACTCTGCCTCTACTGCCACTTGATCAAAAATCCTCCCTTATGTCTTGCAGGGGGATTATACAGAGACCACCTCTTTATTACTGGGTAGCTCATTAGATTTAGGCTGATTTTGCCTATAATCTTGTGATAGTTCATCATTCCTGGTGGAGGCAAGCCCAGGGGGAGGGAGGTCATTTTCTTGGGAGGAGGAAGAGACATCTGATTTAATTCCCCCCCAAAACATTGTCGAACTGGTATTTTAACCATTCTTGGAAACCAAATGAATTTTCCAATGTTAAAATAACAGCAATATTCAATAATAGAAAGCCCATGAGTTTACAATTTCACCAAGGAAGAGCCAACTGATTCACTCTTCTAAAAACTTATCTTTCCCAGTCTTCCTGGGAGAAACCTTCCTCTGTGAAGTAGTTGTTTTACTGGGATCTTGAAACGGCTACTATTTGGAAAGCTGGTTACTGTATAACCTTTTCAGGGCGGGCCCTTCCCTAATCACTCCACATATTCTTCAAAAGAGAATTATGCAATGTTGAAGAGGAGGCCAAAAAGGATCCCTCTGGGTATAAAACTTGCAAACGATCCCCTCCCCCCAAGAAAAAAAGTGCTGGACGAAAGTTTTCGCGTATGATAACAGAAGCTCCAAAACAAACTCACTATGCTGCTCCTTGTCTTTCACCAACTTCAAATCTGGGGAGAGGAAAATCAGTAGCTAGTTAAAATAAATACTAGAAACAACTCATTATTAGATGAGTGGCCGACATTCTTCTGTATTCAAAGACTCGAATTGGGGGGATCCTTCGATATATTTGAATAAAAATTTCCTGTCTTCCACATCTTCCTTTTTATTCGCTGAGAAGGGATCCTCTATGAAGATACCCCTGGAAAATCTCTTGGGTGAAAGCTGCTGCATTTCCACCGCTGGTGGTGACGCCGGAAGGGCTTTTCACATGGAGTATAAGATGATAAGATACAAAAATCATAATCAAGTCAAAATGGCAGTGATGAACATCACGAATTGATGGCATAGGATACGAAGTTCAGAAAATCATTTACCCCAGAGGTGTTCAACCGCTCTTCTCTCGACATGTGATTCAAACTTCGTTCCAATTGCCATTCCAAGTGTAGATGAGGAAGACCACATCGTAAGGATTATGAGTCTCGTAAACATGCTATAAGTTGATGGGAGAAATGATGCAATCTGAGAACGACCTGATGTTGACAAATAACAGTTTGGTATTGCAAGAATCGATAAATGCAAGACGACTATTACTGACTGTCTTTCTTCAGAACAGGCAAGTCAATTCCCGAACACTAAGTCTCCGCCGGTGAGAACTTCAATCGCCATGACTCAGATAAACTGTCGTCTCTATATATGCAAGCACGAGATCGGCACACACCGGGAGCCCCTCTGTCCATCAGGGCTAGCACTTGTGTTTGTTGGCGAAAACAGAGCAAGGTGAAGTATCAGACAAGTCACAGCACGAGTAGATGATCATGTACCGCATATTGACGGGCCAACCAGTATGAAGTGATCGGACAAGCCAATCCCACTTCTCAACATGGATGCTTTGTGGGACATGCGCAGCGCTGCTCTAGCGGGGTGAATAGTTGGTTAAAAACAGTAGCTCTGACAATCGCTCCCATGTCGAAGGGTCTGCAGCAAAAAAAATTGATGTCCGGAGATGTATGTAGACATGAATGACAAAATCAGGTTTAGGACGTGCTAGGTGAGAAGGAGTTTCGGGTTCATTCCTAACCAAACTGTGAAGCAATCTGTCTCATACACCAGCATCTGATTCTCAGGTAGCTACATGGGTAGAAAAACATTCAGCTAGATTGAATCTGTCAGCGATAAGTCCCGATCAGCGCGTCTTGATGGGTGGATTTTCGCTCTGATGTTGGCGAGTTGGTGTTGCGGAAGTTATAGCTTACACAACTCGTCAACCTAGCAGGAGTAGAGAACTCAACGGTAAGTTCCATGCATCAATTACCACCCGGCGCACTGCGGAGATGAAACCTTTTGCGTGATATTTTGCCTGTTGGTGGAAAATGAACCTGCAAGATTGCATCATGAAAATCAATTATTTATATAACCTATTGGAAAACACGTCAAGAAAAAAGATTGGAATTGCTTGACTGATCACATTATAAGGGAAACCGATTTTTAAAATGCTATTCTCATGGGCATTTCGGGACTCCTGGAAATTGCAGGACAATGTTCATCCAGGTGGTGATCCTTCTTGTGAGAGATAGGCAATGTCAATATTTCTGATAAAGAGAAATGTAAACATTCAGAGAAGACCATAAAGAAAATAGGTTTTCTGTATCAACTTTCTTGGATCCTATAGGAAAGATTTAATATATCCAAGTTCACTAAACTCTCGACTTTTTAGATGTAGGATCAAGGCTGTTTCTAGGGAACCCAAAGTGGTAAAGATTATACCGTGCAGCAGAAATTTAGTTCAAAACAGTTTTTTACTTCATTTGATGAATCAAAAGACGGTATAAGTAAAAGCTAAATGTAAAATAAACCTCTATGAGACTAAAGATGCAGAGATAATCACCAAATTATCCTCTACATAATATACCCATTTACCATCACAATCCTGAGCACCAAATTCCAAGGGGATATGGGGAGTGATTGGCCTTTGAGATATGTGATGGTGGTGAACAGCGTTGGAATAGGAGATAAAAATCCAAATATTCTCATTTCAACTGCAACAAAAGGTCTTAATCATCAAGAGAGGCCAAAGATTTATAAGATGCAATAATTCTGAGTGTATTGATCAATACAAAATCAATATGGGGCATCAACTATAGGAAATCCACCATTAGAAACCAGTCACTTTTCTCAATACTCATAATGTTGCTAGCCCTTGAACCAAAAATTATTTCGGGCCAGTTACTATGAATTTTAGCAGGCATTTGATCAGCCTGCTTTCTCTATGGATTACACAGGCCATTGACAAAAGAGGAATCAATGCCAGCCTGAACATATTATAACGTTTTAACATACCTGCTATTGATACATTTAAATACAGCTCTTACAAATACCTTTCAAAACATTTTCAACTGACACAGATTTCAAAATTATATTCATGCTGGTATCAAAAGACAGGTTTGTTTCTTAATCCACCCTGCTGCAGATTGGTGTACACTCCCAAACGCCAATCTGGTTTGGTGTGTGGGCCCAAACTCCCCTTCTGAGGGGAGTGTGCGTGTGCGTGCTCAAGGGGGGGGGAGTGATTATCACTCCCCTTGTTTCTTCAAGCAATTATGCAAGCAAATACCTGTAACTTTTTTTTTTTTTTGAACATTGATATTTCATGCAAGACTCCTTGATTACTTCATTTCCCAGATGACCTTTCCATACAATCCCTCCAAATGATAGAAATAAATGTAATAATTGACCACACCATGAAAGCTGCAACATTTTTACTAGCAGAGGACATCAAGTACTCTCCAGATGAAGCTTCCCTAGCAGAGGACATCAAGTACTCTCCAGATGAAGCTTCCCTAGCAGAGGACATCAAGTACTCTCCAGATGAAGCTGCCCCATTGTTGAGCAAGTACAATTTTGCACAGTGATCATGTACAATCACTGTGTAGTGGAATTCATCACTCTTGTGCTTACCCACAGCTTGGTCAGAGGTTGGGCTTGAGCCTCATGATTTCCCCTGTGGGCAAGTGGCATCACTTGTTTCATGTTGTTACATATCACGTTTTCAAATTTTCAGCTAACTTTTACTTAGAATTACATAGCAGAAAAAACTGAGTTTTCAAAATCAAAATTTGTCTTCTGCCAGTGTTAGTTTTGGTTTATCACATAAATCAGCAAGCAAACATTTCATTTGAAATCAGCAAGATCATACTGGATTGTGACCTGACCCACTACAAGCAAAATTCAATCAATCTACATGTGTTGGTGCAATAGAAAAGAGGGGGAAATTGGAATGATGCTCCCTCCTCTCAAGCCAATTTATCTACTTGTATCAATCAGAGAAGATGGAGGAAGTGATTTGCTGCTCCATAATCTCTGAGCAATGAGATGGTGGGATCTGAAAAAAGATTGGTCATAGTAGTTCAAGAGGAAAGAGCAGAAGTTGTTCTTGGGCCAAGAGGATTGAAGGATGTATTGCTGGCACCATCCTCCTAGATCAATGAACTATAGGTGTAGGATATGGAGGAGGCAGGTGTTGTTGAAAAGAAACAGATAAACAGTTCCTGGCAAACAGGATCATACCTGCTTATCTATGTTGATGATTTGAAGCAAAATACTCATTTGATTTCCCAAAAAACAGGTGTGATGGTGCATGTTTGTTGGGAATAATGCTCTTCTGATAAAAATGAAAATCCACCGGAAACCCACTATGGTCAAGGCCTCTAAGTTTCTATTTGAAAGATATCTACATGAAGAGGCATAGATAATTGCTTGATTCTGTACTGTCAAGTTATTGTCAGAAAGACATACACAGCTTTCAAGAATGGACTGAATTGATTTAAGATCATGTTGCATGTACAACTTGTTTTGAGACTTGTGAGATGCAGGAATTGGCTTTCACCATAATTTATGCATTGTTAATGGGAATTTTGGAGTTTGAAGAAATTAGAACAAATACAAAAACGAAGAAAATTGTTCTTTTGCTACAAAAGGAAGATGCAGGAGGGCAATACTACATTCAAAGGCCTCTGGGCCAAGATCTGTTTTTGTTTTGTTTTGTTTTTAATTATTAATGTAAGAAGTTGAGTTCCAGTACCATCCAACGGTGTTGAAAAATGAGTATTGGTTGTGGTTTCGTCGGCAGTAGCGGGTCGTGATAAGTTGATTTGGTGTCTAAACTCTTGAATTATTCGTTGCTTTCTCTCCAACAATTTCACCTTTGCCCAGAGCAACGGAATATGCTAGAATCGCTACCAAATAGATTACTGACGCATCCGCAGTTTGATAAAGCAAACCTAAAGATCCCAAGAGATGCGTTCAATTAATGTTTGGAGGAGATACATTGTATACAAAGGGAATTGATCTTACCAGCAACGACTGCAGAAATGAGGTAGAACACGGTTTTAAAGGCGAGGCTTCGATAAAGAAACATTCCAGGGAACACTGGCCACTCGAATACCACGGTAAGTAGGCCACACAGCTAGAAATTAGAATGAGGGGTAACACAGATTTGTTAAGCTGAATGTGTGTGAAACTTAAGCAGACCGACTGGTTAACGTACGAAGCAAACCGCTTGGATCACTGGAATCGTGACGATGAATTGGATGAACGGTGCAGCAAATCCGGGTGGACTGGAAGGTTTTGAGTGACCCCAAAGAATTTGTCATGATCAGCCTTACTGCCAATGAAAGATCACAGAAATCAAATCGAATAACAAAGAAGCCTAGACTAACATTGTGCCAACTGGGCCTAGCTTACCGCCTACGAAATCCCAGAAGTATTTCCGGTAAAATATAGCCCATAGGGCTCCCCATGCGTTCCCTGGAGCGAAATAATTTCGTGTTGAGAATCTGAAACTGTCTTTGAGGAGATTTGCTAGACAAAAAGGGATAGCTGAGTGCTTACAGTAACCAGCAGTGAGGGCGACCAGGCGTCCCCAATCACTCCAAATCAAGTTGCCCATGTTGGTCAACCCAAATGCGGCCGTTAACTGGTTGGATTCAAAGTTTTTTTATGTATGTTTTGATTTGATCACCCGGTGAGATACCCTCTTATTGGAGGGGCTACGCTACACGAGAAAGGAAATGGAAGATTGCACTTCAAGACGCAAGTGGAAATTTGAGAGAAATCAAGCGAGTCAGCCATGAGAACATTGTAGAGATTAGGATTCTTGAGCGAGTGCAAGGCACATCCCACGATAGAAAAATGAAGACTTACAAATTGAAAGTGGGTAGTGGAGTCAAATTAAGAAAATACCTGATGACAAACAAAATATATTTCGTCAAGCAAGCACGAGCATTCGAAACGAAAGGACAGAGTTGTAGGAATAGCTGCGCTACTAGGGACAAAGGACATTTCAAGGAAAGTTTGGTAGAAAAGCACGTCCCGACTATCTGTATTGATATCGTTACTTACGATAACAAGACAAATAACTCGTGATCAATCTGATAAGATAAACCTGTCTGAAAACAGCCGACGATCCGTATCAGTCACAAGATTTCGAAATTCCACCAGACTTCACATTTTCGAGGCTCCAGTAACCTGGTGAAGAAAGAAATAAACTTACTCGTGTGATTTAACTTCGGCACCTTGTGTCGTGGGCTGCGAAATCGGACCGCCAGCAGCCAAGGATCTGGATGCGAGAAGGAACGGCAAGGGTGTGCTGAAGGAAGAGGGTCCAAGTTTCGCCAGACGGTTCCCTTTAGGAGAACTCTGATGGCCGGGATGAAATGGGGAAAGTTAGATTTGATCGAAGTGAATGGTACACGAGTGCAGGAAGAGAAGTTTGACGGGGTACAGAGTCGATACAATGGCGAAGCGGATGGCAAGTGATCTGCTGAAAAGTAGGTGGAGTTCGAGATTGTGGCCTGAGGCTCAAGAGTATACAACAAAAAAGAATGGGGTAATCACAACGAAACTATTGGTAACTTGAACTCGATAGACTCTTCTCGGTGTCGATGGACGGTGCCGATTGTCTAGCGTCCGGCCTAGCTACGCATCGCAAGTAGCGGTGGGAGTAGATGAACTGAGCATAGTCTTACGAAGGCTTTTGGAAAATCTACTACATACGTATCAACCGAACCCTTGTGCCGCAATTAGCTATTAAGACTCATAAACTTAATGCCAACACGGAAACAAGTAAGGGTATCATTTGAATGGCGTGAAACATCACCATCGCGACCCTATCATGACAACCCGTTACTTTTCATCGCGACTCTCATACCGTTATGAGCGAGACTGGGGGTCATATCAATAGTGCTTAGTAACCTTATTAGTGAACAAAGGCAAAGAAGCAAAAGTGGTGGATATGGTATGCATACTAGAACTACGTAATTGCTGTCTTCTGTTTGTTCCTGGATGGGCGACTTTGCAAACCCCTTCCCCAGAACACATCGGCTGGTGACTCGGTGGTGGATCTGGGGGCTTTTGGGAGAGGTCAGGGTTCATGACAACAGTCAAGCCTGAAGAGGCCATCGCGCTCCACATACCATTGCTCTGCAGAAAAAATGGAGATTGTCTCAATGTCATATAGGCAAATCATCTAATGTGGGATTAAAACTAAAGCAGGCGATGCCGAATACACACTGGAAAATCTGGATTGAGCGAAGCAAAGCAGTTCCAGCAATGGTTACATGCGTAGGACAACGAGACATTCTTTTCTTCAGAAGCAAAAAGAGCCAAGAGCCAAAAAAAAAGAATTGAACAGCGTCGTGAAGTGTTCTGAGCTTCGGGTTCAAGGCGTTTGCAACCAAATGGATTTTCTTAAATTTGGTTGTGTTAAACCAATTTGAACAGCTACATAGTCCGGGACTTGAGGTGAATTTGAGTACACATGTATGAAGCATGGGCGCGATGGGCGCAGAATGGCACATATTGAGGAGAGAAAAATGAATGCTGTTGGAGGCTGGAGCCAAGGATTGGCAGTCTGAGGCCGGACGGAGAGACTGACGATGAGCTGCTGGATCGAGCGATGTCTCCTCCAACTGCTCGGAGATTTCCAACCATGTAGGCCAGTGACTCAGTCCCCTCATCGAATTCACTTCCTCCCTCTCTGTCTCCTAACTTAACCTCTTTATTCGGAGAGGGGACGCCGTCCTACAGGGACGTATCTGACGAACAGTTGTAAGGGGCAGTTTGTTTTCATGCTTGGTCTATGGGCACGCTTGATTCCCAGATGTAAAAAAAGGATAGAGGGGTTGAGAGGGTGACTGTGGATTGTAGACTTTCTTGTAAAAGTACAAAGACCGTATTCTTCGATCTGGACTTGAGGGAAGGGTTCCTAGGAAAGGCGATCGCTCAGTTCTCGTCTTACTCGCGATGGAAAGCTTGACATGACTTTCGGACTGGTGTTTCAAGACATGGCCCTCATGTAGGATGAGCTTCAATCAGCACGTTTATTTGGACCAGAGAGACAGAGCTAACTTAACTAAGTACCTCCGGCAGTTTCATCCGATTCGGAGGAGGACTGTACATTTGTCCCCCACATCACGCGGTCTTGATTCATCATTTTTTGGCGTAGGTAATTTATCTTTGTTTTACTTAACACTTTCCGATGCAAAAGAGAAGAAAGTAACAACTGAGTGATGGTTATGAGAATCAGGATGCGCTAAGTGCTATGTCACAAAATTTGGAGTATAAGCGGGGGGTCGGGATAAAGATCTTGCAACTGTAAAGGAGATTTATAAGGGGATTGGAGGGAAATGTGCAATCATTGCAGAGAAATAAGCGATCATTGCAGAGAAATGGGCGATCATTGCAGAGAAATGAGCGATCATTGCAGAGAAATGAGTGAGAAGTGGGTAGGGAATGACATTCCTCTGCCGGGAGATAGACAAGCATGGAAAGTTTCCACGTGTTCAGAGAAGATTTTTTTGGACGAGCTCAGACGCGTCTCCAAAGCTTTCTAGGAGTAGCAGAGCGAGTCGAGAAAGGGATCCAAAGCTGGCCGTTGCGCTTGATTTTGCCCTCGACGGTGTTTCTGCCACGGACCCAGGCGAGCCATTGGGCCTCGCGCTCGCTCTTGCGCGCCTCGGCCTCGTGCACCATGGCCCCAATCTGCGCGAAATGGTCGCTCTCGAAGCCCTGGCCGAGCCACCAAGTCGCCCGTCGTAGGGCCAGAATCAATGGGTAAGTGCCCTCGGTCAGGGGCACCACATAGGCCTCCGAATCGGCTCTCGCCAGATGTCCCGGCCCACGTAAAGCTTCGTCGATCTGCCCGGCCAGAACCTCTGCTAGACTGGTCTCGCTTGATACGGATGCGGAGCCTTCCAGCGCCGCGGTCACAAGAGGTACGCCTGATGCTTGTCGGGGCGGTGGCTTAGCCATACGTGCTAGAAGTCCTTCAAGATCCCATACCGGGACCGGACCATCAGGTAGATGGAGGGAAAAGAGGAGCGTGTCGTGTGGGTGATCCTGGCTGCTTGCCGGGACGTCATCGGGCGACAGTTGCTCAGAGCTGGTCCCCTGGGAAGGTTGGAGACGTCCGAGCTGGCGAAAGAGACCGGATGACTTGACGAGGATCGCGCCCAGACTGGCTGAAGGATCTGGGACACGTTGGCCGGCGGGATTCACTGGATCGTCGAGCTGGGGGGACTTCGATAGCTGGGATTTCAGGAGACTTTCCAAGTAGCTCAACAGGGCCGGACCACTGGATAAAGTAGGGTGATCGGATATCCTGGCTATCCTTCCCGGTCCAGTCTTGGCCACCAAGTCGTCCAGAGAACTTATTGTGCCAGGTGCAGGCCGACTCAGTGTGGCCCTCCAGACCACACATTCTTGGGCAATCCGTCGCGCCAGTTGACTCGCGACTTGGTCGGCTAGATGCGGAGAAACTTTGGGCTCCTGAGTGAATCTGTACAGAGCGCCTGAGTGGTTGCAATTGGTGGACAAGAGCCGCGAGGCGTGAGCAAGACCCATGTTGGATGTGGCAAGTTGGGCCTCTTCTACTCACGGAGCTTTTTGCGATGCTTGAGGATGTCCTGATGACACAGTAACCAGACCGACATGCCAGTTTTTTTGGACACCCAATAAGGGTGTAAGATCCGATTGGGTGTGAGGTACGCACCCGGCCCATCTTCTCGTCCTTTCTTACTCTTCCCTGCTGGCCGGCCCTGTTGTTGTTGTGGTTGGTTGTCCCCGGATTGGGGAGGATCTTGTCGGGGAGGCGCCCATTTCGAAAAGCTAAACGATATCATTAGGTCTAGTCTTACAATTAGTCACGCTTGTGCTTGATGTATATCAGAATGGAGGATCCATAGAACTGAATGAACTCTTGAGAGGACTGTGTAAAAAAGAGGCCGTACCTGATGGCAATATCGTACTCGTGAATCCATCGAGACGCTGGAATGAGTTGAACAATTTTTCAGTCTGAGCTAGGGGATGTATAGAAGCGGATCAGCACGAGATAAACTGGACAGCCTAGCACTTCGGGATGTGGATTTGTTGAAGAGGAGGAGGGCAATGAGGATACATACGTGTGCTCTTCGGGTGCGCATCTTTTGGGCCCGGAGTTTGAAACGGGCCAGCCGTTCGTTCTTGGACTCATCCCAGCGGGGAGTGAACCGATTGAGCCACTTGAGCCGATTGTAATCCGACTCGGGCAACGAAAGTGGGGATTTCTCGTCGATCAGTGGGGAGAGTGAGACCGACTTCAGTCTGGACGGTGATGGCAGCCGGACTGGCACTCTCGGCGACTCCTTTATTGGTGAACCAGGCCGTGTTCGCCCTCCTCCTGCTGGTCTCGGTGGTTTGGTTGTGGTGGATGATAGTCTTCCGAGCTGGTGATAGAACTGGTTCGTCCGTTGGCTCTTCAACATCATCCTTCCTAGAAATTAGAAAAAGTTTTCCTGGAAGTTGTTGGAAGCAAGTTGACTGCCATCCAACCCGCAACCCCACACCTCATCGTGTGACATCTTCATGCTCAAACACTGGATAACACAAAATACACCTTCACCAACCACACAGCTTCTTCACACATCCTGGACTATCCGACCGCACACCTCTGATTCAACAGCTCACTCGAAATCACACCACTGCATACACAAAAGACTGCTCCCGTTCTATTCAAACAGTCTCACAGCGCATTTACCAATTACCGCACTGATGGATAAGGAGTCATCAGTTGAGGCACTTTGGTGGGTTGAAGCCCATAGAATACATTAGATAATCATAATGACTAGGAGTGATATCATTCTAACATTCAAGGAGTCACAAGTTTTCTGTGCTTGAAGACAGAATTGACTGCACTATCACCTTTGCCATTATCTGTTCCTATAAAAAAGCCTCAAATGACGAGGAACTTCATTCTTATTCAGAAAAAAAATAGCTTTTTCCACGTGGATTAGGTCTATACTAATTCAAATCAGGTAGAATTGATTCTTGCTTGATAATAGGATTATCCCTCAATCCTTGGAATTGATTAGCAATCAGGAAGGCAATATCCAAGGATTGCTCATAATTCAGTCGAGGATCGCAATGAGTCTACCACATAGTTTTACCCAAACGAAAAAAAATGTCAATCATATTTTGCTCAACAAGCTCATCTCTAAATGCGGAGTCTCCTGACCTGGTAATTCAGTGATAAGTGTTGCGTTTGTAGGTTCATGCTTCCACCCAAGCATTCGGTAACCGAGTATCCTTCTTCATCCAGTTCACCCGTCATTTCCAAGTGAACGCCGCTTAACCTTGAACCATTCTCGGCATGAATCTGAATCGATTTCGATAGTTCAGTAACCACATCACCTATCCAAGTGAATTGGTTTAATTGATCAGTACCGATCAACTTTTCTCGCACGAAATCGGAACTGTTCGAATCATAGGAAAGCAACAGGACAAGAACGAACTCAGGTACCGAGTCTTGATACCTGACACGCCTTCTGCAGTTTTGGTATTGCCATGCATCGGATCGCAACAAAAGATTGAAGAATGATGCTTGGAGTTTTGAACAGCCTTGATGCAGGCAGGTAAGCATCGCTCGACATGATTTGCCCCGAACCGACAGATCAATAAGATTTTTCCTTCCTCATAACTCGGATTAAGGATGTCGAGGATCCCGATCAACTCTTCTGGGGTTGTCTTGGGCCCTAGTTTGACACCAACTGGGTTCGCAATCCCGCGTAAAAATTCCAAATGAGCATGGTCCAACTGTCTCGTCCGTTCACCAACCCATACTAAGTGTGCCGAAAGATCGTAGCTGGGCGAATGAGATTCATGGGACGAGTTTGGATTCTTACTAGACGGGGCCGTCGATTGAGGGGCGGCGGTCTCTTTGATCGAGGGCGCAGATCCCGCCGCCATCGAGCTGATCTTTCGGGCTCGGACTGATCTCGCAGGCTGGACTGTTCGTGTCAAGGCTTCCTCGTACTCCAACAAAAGAGCCTACGTCTCAAACCAATACCCTTCAGTATTTACTTTTGTACATCCTCTAACAATGATGTCACTGCACCTCATGACTAGTCCAGATCTCGACGGTGTCCAAGATGCCCAAGGTGCCTTCAGACTGTGCATTGGCCCCAATCGTCCTCATGAAATCCAATGAGTCCTCCAAACGCTCAACGATGTCTTGGAATTTCGCCTGCAAGCTCGGCGACCTAACGTGTGCGAATGACCAGGCTGAAGGTTGTTGAAGATTGGCCAGGCCGGATGCTAATAATCCTCGGATGTGGTTGATGATTGCTGAGGAGTGAAAGTAGGCTCTGCATGAAAATTGAAATAACATCGACTGGTTAAAATCTTTAAAGCAAGTTTGCACGATGTGTGGACAGCCAGCTCTACAACGAACGCTCACGAGAGAAGACGTTCAGGGTCCGGCGTACGTTCGGCCAATGAATAACCGTTGACAATATCTCCCCTAGAGAGACAGGTTTTGCAAAGACGTGACGCAAAAACGTTAGACAAAGTCAAACATGTGGCATTTTAGAATCAGAGATTGATTGATTGACTGACCGGAAACTAGGGTATTCCTTACCATCGATCGTTTCGGTGGGTTGACTGCGAGGCTTGGCGAACTGGCCGGCTATTCGGCCCACCCTGACCACCGGTATCCTTGCCCCCCAGATGATGATCAAGGACATCATTAAGAGTAATTTGACTCGGGCCGAGATATGTTCATGGTTACAGTACTCGAACAGTTCCGCACAATCGCCACCGTGTAAAAGAAATGCTTCGCCCCGCGCCACCAGTTTCAGTCGTTCCTTTAATTTGATGATCTAAGCCAATTTGTGTCTACTCTTAGTTAAAAAGTGTACTCCAGCTTCTAGGCACCTTCTGAAAGATAACATGATTGAAGAAAAACAACGAACCTCGTGTGGTGTGACCAGACCTGGGAGCTGTTTTAGCTTTGCTTTCACATTCTCGAGTTTCGGCAAAGTCTCTGGTGGATAAGTGATGGCTTGTGCGATCGGCTTTTGTCTCCAAGAATCGATCGACCAGGGTTGGGCAGGAGGGTCCATGCTGGGTGTTGGTCGGTTTCTTGAAAACGTCAACCGCACCGCCACCGAGGATTCATAGGATCGCCCTCGGCTGTCTCGGGTGGTACACGGGACTCCGGGAGACAAAGTCGGCGGGCGACATGGTCTATCGGGGAATTCAGCCTGGCTCTCTCTCATCCCCCGTGTGACCTTCTCCGGCCTACATTCTCCATACAACCTGATCTCCGGGGGGCTTCTTCCTTTTTATTTTACATCACCACCCTTTCATCGCTCGTCCAAAAGCGTTATCCTAAATTCTACCACACATATTAAGCCTTTACACCACCACTCCACACCTTCCCACTCCCCATCCCCTTGCAATAAATCAGAGCACTAGCCCCGCTCTCCCCCTCTCCCCTACTCCCAACACTGTCACCCCATCACCGCTTACAACCACCCATGCCAAACCCCCTGCTTCCGCAGGGTGGAGGCCCCGCGTCAGGAAACAACATGTCCAGCTTGGACATGTATGTTACCGAGGGCTCCCTGCCCGCAGCCGATAATCAACTAGTGGAGAAGTTGTCCATACTAGTTGACACCCTCATACCAAGGTTGGAGAGTCTTGAGAGGGCCGTATCCGGACAGGTATCTAAACCGCCGGCAGCGGCCCGAGCAGACTCCTTCAATACCCTTTTGGTGAGGATTGAGGAAATCGCAGCCAACATGGCCAGATTAGAGAAGAAGGTAGAGTCTATGGCTCTCCCTACCCCCTCTAACATGATGGACCAGCCGGCTGCGAGACCGGTAACACTGCCTAAGAGACCAATCCCTCTCTACTCAGAGAAGGTGGCGGCGGCCCCCAATCCAGGATTACCTAAAGGCTTACCACCAGTCCCCCCCTCCTCATATATCAACAGATTCAAGTTAGGCCAGGTTGTAATCAGGAAAAAGTTCGATCAACCTAAGCCTTTTGAAGGTCTAACAGCGGCAAAGATTTGCCAAAAGATTAATGAAGCTTTAGCTTTTGCCAAAGCTACCATTGATAATGAAACTATAGAGGTAAAAGCAGTCGCCCAGTTCCCAAACGGCGATGTAAAAATCTACACTAAGGACCGAAGGGCAGCCAAGTGGCTCCTGGACAACAAACACCTGTGGACGACGAAGGCTGACCCGGTCTTTGTGACCTCTCAAGTTACTCACCCTGTACTTTTGCACTCTTGCCCCACTAGCTTCGAGACGGACAACAAAGAACATGTTGAATTACTTTGCAAACAGAACGACATCGACCCAAAAGAGATCCAGAAGATCCGATGGCTTCTCAACCCCAAAACTTCAGGAAAGGCCACCAGCACCCTGTTGATCCATTTCTTAGATAGACGTCTAGCGCTCGATATCGAGAGAGCAGGTCTATGCTACAACAACTTGCACTTGAAGGGACAACATTACCTTCAGGGCCCCAAACAGTGCTATAACTGTCTAGCAGTCGGACACCTAGCCCACTCTTGCAAAGGTAAAGCTCTCTGCTCCAGATGTGGAGCAAACCATAATTCCGCTTCATGTGAAGAAATGGAAGATTCTGTTGAACAAACGGTTCGGGGGTTCATTCTCACCCCGCTGCGGCAAAGTGAGACAGGGTGTACAGTGAGATAGACAAGGTTCGAAACCTAGATCATCTGATGGAAGCGTATAAAAGGGGTTCATTTCTTTCTAAAGTTGTTTTTCCTTTTTCTTCATCAGATTCTCTTTTCTTCGTTTCTGCTCCTCTTTCGCCTCGCTCATCACCGCTTGACTCTCTTGTCACAGGTCTGTTCCTTTTGTTTCATCTTCTCATTTCTCTCTTCTCTTTGGTTTTCAGTTCTCTCATCGTGTACTCTCCTTTCAGGTTCGCTTGTGTCTTTGCTCTCTGTTAGCTCACGTTGGTCGTGCTCTAACATCTCGGTTTGAAAACCTTAGGTTAGAAATAAAATGATCAGATTCTCTTTTCTTCGTTTCTGCTCCTCTTTCGCCTCGCTCATCACCGCTTGACTCTCTTGTCACAGGTTCGCTTGTGTCTTTGCTCTCTGTTAGCTCACGTTGGTCGTGCTCTAACATCTCGGTTTGAAAACCTTAGGTTCGCTTGTCATTTTGCTCTCTGTTAGCTCACGTTGGTCGTGCTCTAACATCTCGGTTTGAAAACCTTAGGTTCTTTAGGTTATGAGCCCAGGGGCGCTATAAATTCCTCCTCATTTCAACCTTAAACCTACATTCGCAATCATGACCGACAAAGCCTCAAATCCAGCAATCCCAACTCTATCCAATCTCAACTGGGATCTATGGAGTATGCTAGTTGAAGGTTATATGAAGCAACACGACCTTTACTCCTTCATCTCTTCGAAGGAGGCGGACCCAACGGATGCCACCGAGCTTAAATCTTTCAAGTCTCGCAAGATGAAAGCCTCTGGAGTTCTTCAGCAATACATGGGTATTACTAACTACCAAAAATTCAAGACCAAGGACACCAAAGACGATCCTAGGGAAATGTGGATCAAACTCGAAGACCACTATCAGTCGAAGGCGATATCCAATCAGTCGAAAGTTTACAACGACTTTCTAGCGTTCAAGTTCAAGGGCAGCGACATCGAAGCATTCATCGTCGACTTGACCAATCATATCAGTCGTCTCAATGCAGTCGGACTTCGAATCGGCATTCCTACCGACTTCGAAATTCACGAGAACCTGTTCTGCGAAAATGTTCTTGAGAAGATTCCTTCGTCACTCATTCACACTCGAGAAGTACTCATTCAAGGCAGGCCTCTCACCGTTGAAAAACTTCAGTCTCTTCTAGAAAACAGAAGGCTAGACGATCCAACTGTTCGAGTCAAGTCTGAAGAATCAGCTATGAAGGCGGTCTCTCGTTCTTCTGGACCCGAACCAGAATGTTCCAATGGCGTTCACAATCCCGAGGCGAAGCACCCGGAATCGAAATGTTTTCAAGTCTATCCTGAACAACGTGCCAGGATGGAGAAGCGTCGAGCCAAGTCTCAAGCAAAGGCCAAAAAGGCCCAAGCAGCCGATGAAGACTCTTCAACTTCCAGCGTGGCGTGGCACACAATCAAAAAGGCCTTCTCTGTCAAGCTCGCTCCCAACACAGCCTACCTAGACAGCGGAGCGTCTCACCACATGATTTCCGATCGATCATCGTTTTCTTCTTATTCCACCGATTCGAAATGCAAAATCGAACTAGCGGATGGCAAGACTACAATGTGTCCTGGCATAGGTAATGTCTATGTCAAGACTGTTTCGGGACAATCTCTGAAACTTGAATGTCTTCATGTTCCTCAACTCGTCGGAAATCTAATTTCGGAAGGACGTCTGTTCAGAAGAGGTTGCGATTGTGTTCGAACCGGTCCAACATCGGCGATACTTGTAAACGAAGGCGAAACTCTCTTCAATGTCAATCTCAATGAACAGGATGTATTCACCATCGATCTCGAAATCGTCAAAGGCAAGTCCTTTCCTTCGGTCAATCTCTCCTCGAAATCGAGTTCTGACATAGAACTTCTTCACAGGCGGGCGGGGCACCCAAGCAACGACTCCCTAAAACGGATGTTCAATCTTTCCGATGTTAAGATTCATTGCGAAGCTTGTTCACTTTCAAAATCCCATCGCTTGCCTTACTCTGGGAATCTTCCCATCTCATCTCATTGTCTCGAATTCATTCACTTTGATCTCAGTGGACGTATTAATCCTCCCACTGCTGAGGGCTTTGAGTACTATTTTAAAATAACCGACCAATTCTCCTCTTATAAATTTGTGTACCTCTTGAAAAGGAAATCAGAAGCCTTCTCATACTTTGTGCAATTTTATAATAAAGTCACCACTCTTCATTCTCGTCCAATCAAAAACATAACCACCGACGGCGGGGGCGAATTTAACTCATCCGAATTCAAAGAATTTCTTAGTTCCAAGGGCATCACTTCTCACATCACGGCCCCGTACACTCCTCAGCAGAATCCCGTTGCAGAGAGAGGGAATCGGACGACAACGGAGAAGGCCAGAGCACTCCTCAAGCAGGCCAATCTTCCTCACACTCTATGGGGTTACGCAGTTGAAACTGCAGTATTTCTGGAAAACATTACTCCCACTCGAAAGAAAGAATGGACTACTGCCTATCAACTCTGGTTCAATCGACCATTTGACAACTCTCGGCTTAGGTCTTTTGGATGTCGCGCGTATATCAATCTTCCTGACAAGAAGAGACCGACTAAATTTGCTGACACGGCTACTAAAGGCGTAATGATAGGTTACCAGCTCGGAATGCATAACTGGCGTATTCTGAATGAGGACGGACGTGTGGAGTTAAGTCATGATGTCAATTTTGACGAGACTTTGTATCCAGGAATCTCCACCTTCGATCCAGCTGGTCTCATCTCTCCTTTGCCAATTCTCTCGGAAGGTCTCGAATCGGAAGAAACAGTCACAACTCCGACTCATCAGTTTGTTGAAGAATCTAATTCGGAAACGTCTGATGACGAAGTACATCGACTGTTGACCAATCAAGACGAGAGTTCATCTCCAGAAGAAGACAATCCCTCCTCGGAGGGACTTATCCCTTCGGAATCATCTCAACGACGTCCGGGGTTTGACTTAGTCGTTCAACCAGCCAATCAGAAAGCCCCCAAAGATATTAGTGCTGATATTGATCCATCTAATATTATCAATACCAAACGGAGGGCGCATCTGGCTATAGTGGATGAAGATTTCGACTTTCACGTACAATGCTTTCTCGCTGGCGCTCAATTCTTCGATCAAACGTCTGAAGCTCCTAAAACTTACTCTCAAGCCATGAAATGCCCAGACTCGGCTAGCTGGATAGAAGCCATATCGGCCGAACTTTCAGCTATGGAACGTCTAGGAGTTTGGAAGGTGGTTGATATTCCCGCAGGTGTGGAGCTGCTCAATACAGTCTGGATTTTTCGTCGGAAGTTTGATGAGGACGGAAATCTGTCCAAATACAAGGCTCGACTCTGTGCGGCAGGCAACTTTCAAGTTGAGGGACTCAATTATGCCGAGACATACGCTCCCACTGGTCGTCCTACGGCTCTTCGAACCCTTCTATCGATGGGGGTGGCGTGCGGACTTGACATACATCAAATGGACGTCAAGAACGCGTTCCTGAATGGGAAGCTCGATGAAACCATCTACCTTAGGCCACCTGCCGGCTTGAATGTTCCAAAGGGAAAGTGTCTCTTGCTCATGAAGTCAATCTATGGCCTCAAACAGGCCCCCCGTGTATGGCATCACGAGCTATCGTCTTTCTTCAAGTCAATTCAATTCTCTCCGTCGGACGCCGATCCTTGTTTATTCTACTCAACTGATCCTGCTTGGCAATGTTGGGTACATGTTTATGTTGATGACATGGTGATAGTCAGCAAGGATGTTGGTCGTTTCAAAAGGTTGATTTCTGAGCGCTACCTCATGGATGACCTCGGTCCTCTCCGGCATCTGCTGGGAATGAAGATTTCTTATGTCGGAAAATCGATTCGTCTCTCTCAAGATGTGTACGCCGACAAAATCCTCAAAACATACGGCATGCAGAACTGTCGGACAGTAGGCACTCCGTTTGTACCAAACACCAGGCTTGTTCCAGCTACACCTCAAGAGCAAATTGCGTTTCAGGCACTTAGTATCAATTACCGAAGAGCTATAGGCCTTCTGAACTACTTAGCAGTATCGACTAGGCCTGACATTTCATTTGCCATGTCTCAACTTTCTCAGTTCCTAGAAAATCCGGGCTCGAAACACTGGGAAGCATGCGTGCATCTTCTCAGGTATCTCTGCGGATCATCGACCAGGGGCCTCACTCTTGGTTCGTCCATTTCGCCGTTGAAGATCTACGTGGACGCCGATCACGCAAACGATAAAATCAATTCTCATTCCTACTTCTCATATCTGGTTCTCCTTGGTGAAGGGATCGTTTCATGGAAATCGAAGAAGAATCCTACGGTTTCGTCTTCTACCACAGAAGCAGAATATACCGCTCTGTATGAAGGAGGACGTGAAGCCATCTGGATGGAACGACTTCTACGTTGTCTAGATATTCCTCATCAAGGTCCCATTCAAATCCTGTGTGACAACCAGGCAGCTATCGCACTAGCCAAAAACACTGTGTTTCACGACAGAACTAAACACTTCCGGGTTCACCTACATTGGATTCGCGAAAAAGTGGCCGACAAATCTGTCTATCCAACATATATCTCTACTAATTCTAATCTCGCGGATTTTCTCACCAAATCTCTTTGCAAAATCAAGCACACGGCATGCATTGAGGGCATCAACCTGTCGGGTTGAGAATGAGGGGGGATGTTGAACAAACGGTTCGGGGGTTCATTCTCACCCCGCTGCGGCAAAGTGAGACAGGGTGTACAGTGAGATAGACAAGGTTCGAAACCTAGATCATCTGATGGAAGCGTATAAAAGGGGTTCATTTCTTTCTAAAGTTGTTTTTCCTTTTTCTTCATCAGATTCTCTTTTCTTCGTTTCTGCTCCTCTTTCGCCTCGCTCATCACCGCTTGACTCTCTTGTCACAGGTCTGTTCCTTTTGTTTCATCTTCTCATTTCTCTCTTCTCTTTGGTTTTCAGTTCTCTCATCGTGTACTCTCCTTTCAGGTTCGCTTGTGTCTTTGCTCTCTGTTAGCTCACGTTGGTCGTGCTCTAACATCTCGGTTTGAAAACCTTAGGTTAGAAATAAAATGATCAGATTCTCTTTTCTTCGTTTCTGCTCCTCTTTCGCCTCGCTCATCACCGCTTGACTCTCTTGTCACAGGTTCGCTTGTGTCTTTGCTCTCTGTTAGCTCACGTTGGTCGTGCTCTAACATCTCGGTTTGAAAACCTTAGGTTCGCTTGTGTCTTTGCTCTCTGTTAGCTCACGTTGGTCGTGCTCTAACATCTCGGTTTGAAAACCT